ATGCATATGTTTCAGAACTGTTTAGCCATATTTACATTGAACCTTATGGGGGAAATTTACCTCGTGGTGCAACCAAATCCAGAGGGGAATGGATTAACCGTATTTACATTGAACCTTATGGGGGAAATTTACCTCGTGGTGCAACCAAATCCAGAGGGGAATGGATTAACCGTATTTACATTGAACCTTATGGGAAAATTTACCTTGAGTTGCAACCAACTCGAGTTGCAACCAGAGTCACGGAACGGATTAAGTTCGTAACTAGAGGTACCACTGTACCAATGTAAAAAATAAATCATGTTCAAATACTTCTGATCCAAACTAGAGTTGAACTTTCCATGTTTTAGGTACACTGGTTATTTAATTGGTATTTTACTATGTTATTATTTATTGTGTTATTTATTATGTATTTATTTTAAAGAAACCATTTCCAGCTTCCAAATTTTCATACCCCTTTCTGCACTGAATCTTGTTTTTTCTGTCAGGATTAATAAAATCAGATATTTGTTTGAACAGTGGATTGTCTTGTTCAGTTTAAAGAAAGAACAGTCTTCCTGCTGACTTTTCCGTCATTATTAAAAATGCTGATAATGTTGGTGTTATGGTTATTCAGACCCACTGTCTTCTTAGTGTAGATTTGTTCACCAACCCTGCTGGCTGAATTTGCAAGATTAGCTAGAATATGCTAAAATGGGATTTGTCGTTTCTGGTTCAGCCATTGTCATGAAGTTCATATTAAGCCATGATATGGTTTGGAACAGCTTGTTAGGTGAATATAGCAGCTATTCCCTTGGGTTTAGGGTGTGTTGTGTTGTGTGAACCCAGTCAACATGTGAATTTCTTTCTTTCTGACGACTGCCCTAAGTCAGAAAAGAGGGGAGTCCACTGGGTTCAGTAAACACATATCCGGAGTGATACAGGGATGCATCTCAAAGAAGAGAACTGGCAACAACTGAACTTGCTACTTAAAGCAAGAAGCCCAGTATTTTATACAGAGAACTAAATATTGGATGATCTAGAAATAAAACACTTGTAAGAAGCTCCCTGTTCTTCACAATACTACGGTATTTCAAGGTCTAGCTAATGGCCCATCAGCAAAATTAGTTTGCTTAATGTCATGGCCATTTTTGCTGGAATATATCTGGCTGGTGAAAATACATTTAAAGTGAAGACTAGTAAGCATCCTTAAATAATTCATAAGATATTCCTTCTAAGACTGTTACACAACTCACTGCTCCTCTGTTTCCCAGAGATAACTGTAATGTAAAACTGTATAGTAACAGAAAATAACCTTGCAGTGCATGTCTGCAATGTTTGTTTGAAGAAAAATTGCATGATCTAACATCTGCTTCTGGATTTTGTTGTGGTTTGCTTCCTTTTTGTTTACAGTTTTTCCATGTGCATTCAGTAGATTTATAAATGAGAGGCAGTTTTCATAAAGCTTTCCGTAGATATAGCTCTATATTAATCCTGTGTCTACAGATAGGCCTTTGATTGATGTTTCTCCAGCACGGTGCTTAGAAAGCTATTCTCCACATGCTCAAACAAAACAGTGTGGAACACTAATTGTGCTCAAATGTTTTCTTAAATGAACATGTGTGCGCCCATTTATAAACAGTGTGTTTAGAGTCTTCTGTAATAAGGAAAGACAATTGATCAACCACAGATGAATACTGCATTGAACTTCCCAGCAAATATGAAGGTTTATTAGTTTACTCTGGGTTTGGAATAGTGTTTGCGTTGAGTACAAATGAATGGATGAAGAATAGGAGAGGAAAGTGTGATGCTCAGAATATTAAACTGCAAAGCACTGTCTGATTGGTTCATGGAAAGCACTTACTCTCAGTATAAATGGACAAGAGCGTCCTCTTTTTATAACTGTCACAAAGAAAGCAGCTGGGCAAAGAGAGAGAAAACAAAATCTTGCAAACAGTAAGTAAAAGTCTTTATCATTTAAGCTGAGTTATTGAAATCATCTTAATGTAACCATTCACCAGTGGCCTGGATTTTGAGGAAAGATATCTTCCTGATAGCTATGTTTAAATGAGGGTTCTGCTAATGAATGTTAATATTCTATTGTTCTGTTTGGGCTCTTTGATGACTTCTAAGATACTTGTATTTGAGGATGAAATAGATTACAGTATTTCAAAATATGCTAATTTTCTGTACATTACAGAAAAGGCAGAGATAGTACTGTACAGAAAAATTAAACTTCAACATAACACTTCAGAGTTCAAAATGCATATAATGCACTAAGTTTATACTAAGGGTAACAAATATACTCTTAATCATGCTTTAGCAATACTGGAGATTCATAGAAGGGTAAAAATAACTGCTTAATTATTTGCTTTATCCTCTCAATATTTGTCACTGCTTTATCCTCTCAATAATTAAGCCTGTTCCTAAACATAACCTAAATGTTTCATCATTTAGGAACTTCAGCAGAATACATTCTCAATTAAATTAAAATCTTTAAAATGAAAGAAGAAAATTTAAAATTTAGTAGTACTAGTAGCAGTACTGCTATTATTAATATTACTTTAAGGCATAAACAAGTGTGTAAATTGTTTTCTTAAATATAAGTATGATTTAAAAAATGAGAATGTTTATTATTTTGAAATTTGTATTGAAATAAAATCCATTTATCATCAGACGTGTTCTTTCTCTTGTTCTACCCTAATATATTAGCTGAGTCTATAGGGTTTCTGTTCAGGCTGGTTTAATTACTGAACTATTGAATATTAACTATTAACTATTAATTATTAAATACAATAGATTTTCAATAAAAAACTCCTATTCCTCCTTCTTCTGTAAGTAAGTTCCTAGTATCTTTGAAGTATTCCAGAAATAGTAGTAGTAGTAATAGTAGTATTGGAAAGCCATATTGTCTCATCGTTTTAATTACTTTTACAAGAGTTTGGAAAATGTCATGAAAAATGCATGAGATGTTTATAATGTTGGAAAGAGATCAGAAAGTGGTTGATGAGATCTCCCAACAGAGACTGTACTGCTTTAATCTTTGTGGAATCATGAAACAATGGAACTGAAATTTCTTTGATATGAACATTAATCAGATTTCTAAGTATTATTATAACAGGGGCTGCTCTTCCAAAATATATTATTTATTTATTTGTTTACTTATTAATTTACAGGAGTTGATTGCCTCAATCAACTAGGATGCTAGTGTATTTACTTCCTTTATGCCTATGGTTAATCCTCCACCTATCTAATTTCAGTAGAAATCTTGTTTTCCTAACTAAAATTTTCAGTGTGTAAGTGAAGTTAGTCCTTTTCAATTGTTTTGATGGGAGTATTTAGATATGCTTACCTCTCCTATTAATTCAGTCATTTATGTAGTCCTTCAGCTATGAAAGTAAACTAGCAAGTAATACTACACAAAAAACCTATTTTAGACACCTTCATAAAAAGTGAGAAAAAATTTCAATAGTTATAACTGTTTTGGACAGCTAGCCTATAAATGTCTATGAAGCTTGGATTTCTAAGGCATGTGGAGGGTGAGATGGAACGAAACTTGATGGTGCACTACTTGACTTCATTACTTCTTGGCTGAGTCTTATGTCTGCGACCAAAATAAGTTCTTTTATATTTTATGTAATAAGAAAAAGTATTGAACTGAGCTTTATCCTTGATAACTAGATTGTCATGTCCATGTAATTTTCTTGGCAACGGCATAGAAGTAATTTGTCTGCTTCTGGGGTCGTTTTTTGACTGCCCACTTTAGTCTGCAGCCCAGGGATTTCTTGGATTAGGGTTATTTCATGGATGACAATCCATTACAATGCAGAGAAGTTTTCCATTTAAGAATTGTACATAGTTATCACATGTGCAGTGGGAGTGGAGTTTTTTTTTAGATGCAGATTATTCGCTTGCTAAATGCAGTAGCTTTGATCCAAAAAAACTAGTTCTTTATGTCTATGAGGAATTAATTCACTGGAGATGAACTGAAGTTGGTAAGTGTTTGCACGCCTTGAGGAGCTGGTATGAAAAAGCTATAAAAATCCACCAATTGCACCCAAGGCCTATATTATGCCTACATTTATATCTATGCATCCTGTCCAATTATGTTTTTATTGTAGTCCACACTTTATAGTAAATGCATCCTTTCTTGCTAGAGGTACTTATCATGCAGGAAAAGTAAGACTGAATGGCAAGAAATAGATACATTGCAGTATTCAGAAGACTCTAAAGGCAAATATCTGTCTTTTCCATTTACACACAAACATCTATATTATACTACCTGAACTGCCAAACATTCCCCCCAAATATCACAGAAACTGTAGCTGTCTGTGGGTGCTAATGATTTTGTTCTTGGTTCTTCTCAGAGATCTGTAATGGAAGACAATATCTCAAATAAGTCTCTGGTGTAAATGTGCAGTTCAGCAGAACTGCAGTTTTATCTTCTTCCTTCTTGGGCTAATTTCACTAAACTGTCAGTTTCCTTCTTGGGCTAATTTCACTAAACTGTCAGTTTCTTCAATATTCTGCTCCTTAGGCATTACCATCCTGCACTGAGGGTTGAATCTGAAGCCCTGAACCCCCTCCCCCATTTCACTCTGGGAAGAATCTGTATCAGTTTATTCCCAGTAAGAGAGAAAGACTGTAAAAATGGGGGAGCCCCATTCTCTCCACGGTGACTTGCTCAGACTAATTCTGGACAATCTGCAAAACTCTCAGTATACCTTTGCTAAAGCAATTTGGTCAAGATCCACTTCAGGCCTGATTGTTAGTGGTCTGTCTGTTGGATCCCCTGCATTGCCCAGTTAATGCCCAAGTCCACATCATCTCATCATCTGTTGAAAAGGCCGTGACTGAGATGATCAATTGTGGTCTGCTTTGAGAATAGGTTTATCAATTACTTAACTACTTTGAATTGTGAATTACTATTAATTACTTTCACTCTCTCTTTTTTCCACTAAGGTATTTTATGTAAGCAAGCACCAAAGGCTTTTAAATATCCTTTTGGATATGGTTATCATTGCACTGTTATTTGCAGAATGGTGGAGCTCTGGAATGACAAATGGGTACTAGAGCTTCAACAGAGGGTTCTGAACTAATACTAGCTTGGTCAGAACTGTCTGCCCAGCCTCGGGTGAGTCAAGGTCTGCTTTAAATTCCTGCAATTTACCTGGATTGAGACTTCATCTCTACTTAATTCTGATCACCTTATATTGCCAGATAATAGCCATTACTGTTCATTAATGGAATAACAGCATTTACTGTGAAATATACAGGATATATATAAAAATATATAATATAAATAAATATAAATTCATTTGTTTTGTAAAATATCCACATTGTAAGATGTGTATTCTCTAGATAAGAGAATTGTAATTCTCTAGATAAGAGAATTATCTATGTCAGGAATGATTATACACTGAATGACAATCACATTAGTGTTCTGGATAATACTTTGCATCACTTGTTGACATTGCTGTTTTCTGCAGTCATTACATGTTCAGTGCAGGGATATGCAATGTTTGGAGGGAGAAAACCTACATAAAGACACATGAGTCAGCAACTTACATTATCATGGCCCTGACTTAAATGGAAGCCTAAGAATATACACCTTGTTGTAAACATGAAATTTCCACCTTGTAAACTTGCTAAATGCATGATGCCTCCAGAAAGATAGTGTTATCTGAGTGACATTAGGGATCACAATGTAACCAGCTTTTTTGCTACACTGTAATTAGATCTAATATTTTTCAATGATTGCATATTATTTTAAGAAGTTTTTCATCCATCATTGTTAGAAAGTATGGATAAACAAAATTTATGTGGTTATGTTGCATTATATGTCCTTAATTTCCCCTTCTCTATTTCCCATTGTTTTGCTGCCATGAAGTGGTGGTGGTCCTATGGAGGATATTGGCGAGGAGGAGATTCATGCTGTGTGCCTCTTTCTCTTAAGTTCATAAAATTCTGTATTTTCATATAGAAGTTGGATAGTGAAATGTATTTGAGTATTTAGCACACTGGATCAGTTTGATTATCTTGTGTGGTCCTTAATATGAAACACCTAGGTGGGTAGGTATGTCCCTCTCCATGCTTGGCTAGAGCCACCTGGTATAAACAAGGCACTCTTTGTACTTGCCTGGCCTTGTTTTGGGATAGATAAGCAAATCCTATGAGGGATAAGACATGATAAACTTCTTGCTCTTGGCAAGGGCAGGCAGATATGTGCAGGTGTGATTGATTATTGTGTATGATCTATATAAACCAGTCAGAAACTCTGCTAGAATAAACCTCAATGCAGACCTATCCTAGGAAGTGCTGTATGCTTGCTGGCTTGGAAAAGGGGTCTGCATGTCATCGTCTTCAGGGTTTCCCAACTAGCAGAAGTAGCATAAAGTTTCTTTGATGTTAATATTATACTTTTTGTAACTGTATTTTATTGTTTTTCCTTGTTTCTCATATTCAGTCTTTTGGAGTGGGGTGGCTATAACGAGTCTAAACAACAACAACGACAACAACTTATTATCTACAAGTCCAAAAGTACCTGTAGCCCAAACAGGACATGCTTTCATATCTGTGGCTCTGGATTTTAACGATGAGCTCTCCCTGACTACTTGTCTGTTTTTGTTATGTTTTTTTAAAGAAATGGAAACTATTGAACACCATCCTGTAAATTTCTGTCTTTGGAATCATGGAAAAGAGATAATCCTATCTTAAAATCATTGGCTGTTGGTTTGCAATTGGCTTCACATATATAGAAGATAAGACAAATACACATGTGCATTTTTAAAAATTGTCAATATGTTTCTTTTAGGTTGCTAGAAATCTTGAAATGGATGCCACAGAGTTTCGAAAAAGAGGAAAAGAGATGGTGGACTACATTGCAGATTACATGGAGAAGATAGAGAAGCGGCAGGTTTATCCTGATGTCGAGCCAGGGTACCTGAGATCCCTCATTCCAGAGTCTGCTCCTGAAAAACCTGAGAGATTTGAAGACATCCTTAAAGATGTTGAAAGGATAATTATGCCTGGGGTAATATTAATTAAGGTGTTTTGAAGAGTTTAATTATTTTTAATACTGATGACAAGAAACTTAAGGTAATAATTCTGGCTACCAGTAGCTGAGCCTTCCAGGGATTTAGAATTGTTCAAAGCACATATTTGTTTTACAGGCCATTCAATGCTTCATGCTGAAGAGCCTGTACATCGCAATCACAAGAGATGTGAGCTAGGATGTTAGTGGAACTTGATTCGAAGAGTAATTGGAAACAGAAATCAGCACTTCTCTACTAAAGAGCAGTTGAAAAGATTCTAAAAAACAAAACTAAATTTCCACAGTTGGAGCATACTTTGTACATTAATTTAGTTTTTAGATGTAACATATAGAAATGTCTTATTTTCTGGGCATGGCCTCTGGCTTTTTCTGTAATGTGCTTTTAGCAGACCTTTCCCTTCTCTTTCATCAGGCAAATAACTGGGATTTAATTTGATAAAAATGCATATCACTCTTACATATTATTGTCCAAGATGATAATCTCAAGCAACTGTCCAACTTCCCTCTCATCCATTGTGTCAGTGTGAGTTATCAGGCTCATAACCAACATTTTAATTTCTTTTATTTTAAATAATTTTTATTAAAAGTTTTAACTACAATAATAAAAGATAATACAAACTAAAAAGAAAAAGGAAAATAGAGAAAAAGGTGCAAGAAAGAAAAAAAGAAAAAATAGAGAAAAAAAATCTAAGAAAGCAACTTCCCACCCTTGTCATGACAAGTATAAACAATTTCACTATCTCTTAATTAACGAATATAAAACTCTTCATCCCATAACCCAGCTCTTAACTATAGGTAAGTTCAATAAGCAACATCTTTTCCAATCAAGGTGTCAGCAAAAACTCCAGAGTCCTAAAATAATAACATTATTTAATAAATATAAAAGTCATCATTCCATATCTCAACTCTTAACTGTAAGCAAATCCAATACACAATATTTTTCCAGTCCAGATGTCAGCAGGTCCAGAAGGACCACCCAAAATAACATGTCCCATTTTAACCCCGATCAAATAAGCCAACTTTATGTTCCTTCCTTTTGTGTAAAACAATCTTGTTCTTTAATCCATTCAAATGATTATCGACCCTTGTCTCAAATTTCTTCAAAACAAGCCTCTTTTGTAAGTCCAGTAAGAAGAAATTATTCCAATTGCTCTCTGGGATTGGCATTTTTATTCTCTTCTTAATTTTTAAAGCCTCATCCATTTTTTTTTTTTTTGTATATCCAATAACAAATTCTTGTTCACATTGTTCTCCACAATCAGTTGCAAATCTTTTTCTATAACAGCTTCTTCTGGGAACAGACTGTTCATAAGAACACATAACACACCTGACATTATTAATTCAAGGTCCCAGTGCAGTTCCTCAACAATATCTCTGAACACCATTATAAGTTGCTTATTTTGTCATGTCTCTAGTATCAAAAATAATTTTTCTTTCCCATGAAAATCCATGTATTCTTTAAAATGAATTGTAAAGTCTTAATATTCAAAATCAAATATTCCAACATTTTCTGAGCCCTTAATCCACTTAAACTTTTTATAGCCAAAACCTTGTCTTGCTTTTTCCTGTTTATTTTAAATTCTCAAAGCATATAAAGATACAGTTTCATTTTCTTACATTAAGGATTGAGGGCACTCCCCCAGTGTTTCCAGCCTTGTCATTTTAAAGGTGTCTAACTTCTTTAAAGCAGTTAATAGACAATTTCCTAAAATGGTTAGCAAAGGAAGAGTGAACTCAGTGTCCTTTGAAGGCTCTGGAGCAAGAATGGTAAATTCCCTTGTCTCCCAGTTCTCCCACCCTCTGGAAACTGCTGACTTGCAGTCTCCTTGTAAGGAGCAACTGTACTGAACACAACTTGGGCAATCTCATGTCCTCTCTTTCTCAAGAGAGGGTTGAAGGAGCCGATCTGCTCGTTGGTTCCTTGTTCTTAGCTGCAATCGTCAGTTCCACTTTTGCGCAGTCATCTTCAGTCCACCATGTTCCTGAGCCAATCCACCAACGTTTTAATTTCTTTGTCTGTAGACTTTTCCTGGATTTCTTGTAATAGCTCCACTTTTCATTTAACAGTCAGACTGGAGATCATTCATCATCTTGGTTTGGCAGAAGAATCACATGCTCACTGAAGAGAAATTTGTCTCTTGCCTTGCATACATTAGATAGGAACATTGATAGACAGAGAAAATGTTTTGTGCAAAATGTCTCTCAGACTCACGGTGGTCCTTATTTTTCCTCTGTGCACATAGTTTCAATACAGCTTTTAAATTGTATTTTGAAGGTTTATGCTCAGTTAATTTATTTTGCTAAATTTTATCATTTACCTCTTAAATAGCAGTGTATACTGGAGAAGGACCCATATACCCAAGAGGGTACATATCTACTTGAGTTCTTTGTAAAGAACAATTGAAAAAAATTTATCACCTTCCCTTTTGGTGATATTTTAATATTGAGCTAAACATTCTTTAGTGAACATTTTAATAGGAAAAAAGTGGCTTTCAGGTAAAGGAAGTTTCCCAGAATATTAGATCAGATTAGATTTATTTAATTTATGTTACATCAACTCTTTCTGCATTCACAGCAGATTACAACCACATGTAATAAAGTCTCTGTGTTAAAAAAAAAAAATACTGCAAACTCCATCAACATAATAAACTAAAGTTTTACAATGCCCAACAAATTTTACCTTTTTTCCAACAATTTCTGTTTAATTGTTTAATTAAACTCTTTTTAATTGTGGTAGTGGTATTATTTTTCTTCCTTTGTAAACAGTTTTAATGTGATGTCACAAAGGTCATATTGGCAATGTGATTACATCATTAGAGGCAAATGAAGCTAGTTCAGAGGGCAGGTAGGTTTATCCCTCATCTTGAAGTAACTTGATTTGCCAGTGATATCACATCACTAAATTTGGTTACTTGCATAATAGCTTTAGTGCTGATAGGAATAAAAGGCTTCTTTTTAAGCATAAAATGGTGCTGAACCTGACTGGGGCTCTGAAATACTTAGAATTGTTGGTATGGACTGTGATGTTTTACATGAACTTGTTGCATTTGGATGCAGTAGGTTGCCTGATTTTCTTTGTTGTGGTCCTGTTCCATTTTTTTTAAAAAAGCACAAATAGAAAAGAAAAATAGCACTTTTCAGGGTCAGTTCATCTTGTCACTGCAAGATAACCTATGATGGGGAGGATTAACAGTATTTTAAAATTTCCCTTCCATCCTGAACCCTGATAATCGCTCTGGTTCACCTTTAAAAATAAGGCTTTAGGTCCCAATAATATCCTATCTTCTTATAAGGCTGATAATGTTTCTGAGCGGTGCCAGTTGTAGCTGCATCGTCTCTCTTCTGCAATGGCTATCTGAGCTGTCCCAGTCCTGCTCTCACATTTGAGTCAGCAAGTGCCATATGAGGGTGGCACTTGGTAATTCTGTTAGATCTATCCTGCTAGTTGTACATTATTTCATTTTGTAGAATATAACAGACTGCATTTAACCAGTCCAGTAATGTTTGGAGAATCATATATCATCTTCGACTTCTAAAGGTGTTGTGTAGGGGCAGCAGTCCACACTTTAAGGTGCTGTGCATGTCCAGGGGTTGCTTTGTACCAATTCAAAGGTTCTGTGAAGTGAAGTGAAAAGTTAGTGGCAGCTTGGAAAATAACTGGCTTTTTGTAGCTACATTCTGTTTCTGCACACGATCAAAGGAAATTATATGCCTCTTAAAAAACTTACTGGCTCAATAGCTGTATGTTGAGTCCCAGCAATACTCAGCTCTGTTAGTACTAGAACTGGCCAGCACACAAAGGAGATCACTAACTCAGGAATGCATCAACAGATTTTATTTTCTAAGATGCCATGATGTTGTCCACTTGCTTCTGAATATGGGCCTGATACTTGATAATGAATTATATGAAAAGTTGTTTTATAATAATCCTTACCCACAGAATCTTATTCACGTCTTCATTAATATATCCACAAGCCTATATATTAGACTTTGGGACATTTGGTCAAATAAGTTCTTCTCGCATCTTACAATTAATAGCGATAATAATGTAGTAACAAACATGCAGGTTTGTTAACCATGGAAGAAATCAAGTGTGATCACATTCAGAACAGTCCCAGCTTAGCTATTTTTAAAATTTTAATAGGGAAAACAAAGATAAACCCCAAGTTAGCTGCTTTTTAATTTTAATACCGAAGACAAAGATAAGCCCCTCCCCTTCTTAAAATCATACAGATGTGGGTATATCTTGCCAATAATATCAAAGTTGCTTCTGTCTGAATAGCTCACTTTGACTTTGGGTAAAATTGCTTGGGTGTAATTCACGCCAGGAATCTTAAGGTAAAATAGGAGGCAGAGATGACTCTATTGGTTCTGCGTAGCTACAACAAAATGATTCAGAACTGATAAATGGACAATTTCAGCATGTGCTTGTTAAAGCAAAGCCATGCATAATACATGGCCTTTTGATGCTTGTATAATCAAATGCCTTTCATCCTGATAAATTTTTGTATTCTTTTCCACAGGTGACTCACTGGCACAGTCCCTACTTCTTTGCCTATTTTCCTACTGCCAACTCTTTCCCGGCTCTTTTGGGTGATATGTTATCTGGGGGCATAGGATGCATTGGATTTTCATGGGTACGTTCTATGTGGTCATGTAAGAACCAGTTTCAAAAAAGTTCAGTTACTGCATGTCTAAGTGTCTTTATAATTCAAAGGTATTACAACTATGGATTTTTGGAGATATTTTCTTCACATTTTAGGCCACAGAGGGGTTATAATGGCTTTCAACAGCCTAGTTCTCACTGAAGTGGTAGACCATGGGAGAACTGTACCACTCCAGTATGAAGATAGGGGTTAACATAACTGAATGTACAAAAGTGTTTCCTTCACATAAAAAACTAAACTTCTCTGTAGCTTGTAACCTAGGCTACAGTCTAGCACCTATACATCTATGTGGAAGGAGCTATGTTTTGCTGGGGTTTTCCCGTGTGAGAGAAACATATCTATATTTGGGAAGCTCCCCTGATCCAGGTTTGTCCTTTTTTCTGAAGCTCTTTAGCTGCCATTTCTCTAACTCTCCCCACTTCTCCTGGCAAGTGGGGAGGAGGGGGTGGAGGGAGGAGGTTAAAATATTGCCCCTGGCTGTCACCCACTTTTCAGGCCTGCAGGACAAGGGGTGACTGCTATGTTTACACACAGATCTTGTAGTATGTGTTTAAAAATACTGCTCCCCACTTTTCTTGCCAGCCCTCCAAGAGATGACAGGCAGATGTGGAGGGAAAGGGCGTTAAATTGCTCCAGGAGAAGTGGGCAGTGTTATTTTTAAAGACACCCAGGCAGTCAAGACACCCAGGCTTTTTCCATCCTGAAAAATGCCTGACAGGTGGCCAGCTATTTGGATGCTAACTCTGAGGAAGCTAGATGTCAGTCCTTTCTACAGCCCAAACACAAATGGTGGCAGGGCAAAGTAACCAGATGGAGTGGGGGCATGCCAACAACAGCCTAGAAGTTGCCTAGAAGCACTGGGCTACTTCTGGGGAGATCCCCACCCATCTACAATCTCAATAGCATGGTGGAAGAAGTGACATCGTTTGTCCTATAGGAAGACCTGCGTCAGAGAAGATGAAAACCAGTACTTTAACCCCAGAACTTCTGATGTTAGGCGGGCTCTATAGCAGACTGTGGATCAGATGAAAGCAACATCCTGGGAATATGTCCTTTAACAATGATTAATGAGGTTAATTCAGTCTCAGAATGTGGAAAGCTGTATGAAACTGAGCAGTACGCTGTAGAGATTCTTTCCATACTTTGCTCTTCTAACTGCCTTTTGGATCCTGATAGCAGTTGTATACAGAGGATTACCTGCAGAGAAGCTCCGGTGTACTCAACAAGACTTATATCTGAGTAAATATATGTAGGATTGTTTGATAAGGTGGGATTTCCAAACTTTTACACCCTTTTGCCTACAGTTTGAAATTTTATGAGGTACAATGAGAGACTTGAGTTAATGTACCTGCCAAACACAGCATTTATCAAAATGGATGATTAATCATCTCTTTTTTCACTCACAAACTCTGTAACATTCTGAGTTACACTTGATACTTCCATGCTTCATTGCATATCTGTTCTGTGCACTCTTCTAAAATGTGTAAATGTCTAAAGGAAACCACTATAGAGTTTTATTCCCTTTTTACCCTGTTTTCCCATTCTAGGCTTCAAGCCCAGCTTGTACCGAATTGGAAACAGTCATGCTGGATTGGCTAGGCAAGATGATCAATTTGCCTCCGCAATTTCTGGCTGGGAAGGATGGAGAGGGAGGTGGGGTAATCCAGGTAATTAGAATATTTGCTCCTGAAGTGACTCTTTCTTCTATATTATATTTAAGCTGGATAGAAAATTATATACATTGCCAAATTATTTCTTTTTTTAAGATATCATCATCATCATCATCATCATCATCATCATCATCATCATCA